AAAAAAAAAAAAAAAAAAGAGGCAGCCGAGCTCCAGGCCTATATCTGTCCCCAGCCGCGTCACAGACACAGCATCAGAGCTGCACAGGGGGAACATTCTTAGCCCTCTCACCGAGTCACTGAGGTGACTCACGCCTCCCTCCTGCCAGCATGGACCACACCACCTAACAGAAAGCTAGGCAGTGTTGGGGTGCAGGGGGAGACAGGGATCTGGAAAAAGGGACTGGCTGCGGGGGGCCTATGCAGGGGCAAGCAGGCAGCCTTAGGTAAGGGATGCGGCTAGCAGGGCTCCAGTCTGCAAAGGGTCTACCTTGAAAGGTGGTGAGAGAACATATTGAAGAGGAAACTTCAAGCTAACTGCCAGCTGCTGCTGGAAGGCAAGGGACAGGGGGCACAGGGCAGGATGGGTGGACTGACAGGGCATCTACCAAATGGGGTAGAGTTGGCCCCAAAAGATGTTTTGTACAGTCAGTCTTCTGCTTTCGAAGAGACCACCTTGACTCCCAGAAGCTTTAGGGAAGGGATGAGCAGGCAGAGTCCTCAGCTAGAGCTGCAGGCTCAACTAGACCAGGGCTTGCCCAGCACTCATATTTATACTCCCTCCCAGGGGACTGGGTAGGTATTTTGCATGGTTGGCCCCCAGGGTTATGCCCCTACCCTAGGAAACTACATGGGCATCTATGCCCAGGCAAATGGCAAGACTTGTTCCAAGCATTTTCCAAATCTTCACAAAACATTCGACCTCTGACACATCCTAGCCCACCCGCAATCTGATCCCTGGATAGCCAAGAGCCAGACCACAGGTACCTGCATAGGTAGGCATATAGTTTCTACTTTCCAGTTCAAAGCTTAGGATCCACACCTACGTATCTAGAGGCAGACTCCCCATACAGACCACACAGACACCTACACCCAAGTGCCGAGCTACTGCCAGGAGGGGCCAAGCAGGCATGGGTCCAGCAGGCCCCTCCCTAGAGGAAGCATCCTGTGGTGCCGGCCTGGTAGGGAGGCTGTGCCAGAAAGGCCTGATGCTGCCAACAGGTTCCTGGGAGGAAGAGAGGCAGTAGCCCAGCTCTGGGGACCCCAACCCCCAACCAGGAGCCTTTAAAAAAGTTCCTGCTGAGAAGGTAGCAGGGCAGGGGATCTCAAGCCCAAATGACCCAGAGTAACGCCCCTTCATCCTCACAAGATGGGAATAAACCAAGGTCAGGGGGAAGAAGAGGCATGCAGAAGTTGGAGCTAAGGTAGCACCCAACACCCCAACTGCCAACCTCTGCCTAACTCTATCATAGCTGCATCAAGCCTCCTCCCCAAGTGTCTGATTCCCAGGGGACTCCTGACAGGAAACTTGCAGAAATCACTGTACTGGACCCTCTGAACCTCCAGAACCCAGCCAGAGCAGCTGGGGCAGACTTTATTCTTGTGGACACTCTGGCTATGGCTTCTTCCCCTGCCCAGACCTGGGGAGCGGGCAGCCTGGAGGCAGGTCACTGACCCACTTCGTCCCCTCTGACCAAGGTGCCCATGAGGCCAGGACCCCAGCAGCTGATGCTGACCCTGCCGGAGGCCAAAAGGACTCGAAGAGATACAGCAGAGTACAGCTGGAAGGATGGCAGAAGGACATGTTCTGGACCAGGGAGGGCAAGGAAGCCCACCTCAGTGAGCACACCTCCCCTGACCACCTTCTCAACAAAGCCCTCCAGAAAGATCTAAGTGGGACCCTATGTGGGTAAGGCTCAGACCCAGGGACAAGAATGCCCAATGGCAGAGGGCAGGCAGGGATACCAAGGCACTTACCTGACACAGGGATGCCGTGTAGAGGGGTCCGAGGCAGGATTTCCAAGGATGGTTCCCGGCCTGACATCCCATCTGCTGAGAAACAGGATTCCGTCTCATAGATGGTCTGCAGCATCTCCACGAGCCCCTGAGCCTTGGGCACCAGCAGCATGCCAGGGAGGGGGCCGCCGAAGGCGGGAGTCAGCCAGAGGGAAGGTGGTTGGGCAGGGCCCTCACTGCTCAGGGGCTCCCTCAGGCCACTGCTGCTGAGACCCGTGCAGCGGGAAGGCACCTCATCGGCCTGGGCCCTCCTGGCGGCAGGAGGAACCAGGAGGCCCCGGAGTTATAGGCCCAGCTCTCCTCTAGAAGGGCATCCAACCACCAGCTTTTCCCCAGCTCCCAGGAGCCGGGTACGGCTGAGTACTCAGGGGACAGGAAGGGGAGCTCAGCAGGCAGGCGGGCTCTCTGTGTTCCCTCCCAGCCCTGGTGACAGCTCTGGGCCTGGCTCCCTGCTCCTCCTTCCCGAATGAGCCGCCGGCAGCTGGCAGAAGACTGAAATAGCAGTTGGGGGAGGGCCCTGTCTATAAATAGGTGGAGCATGCTCAGGGAGCCGCCGGCCGGCTGCCAGCCCTGGCGGAGGCCCCGTGGGGCGGTGGGGGGGCGTGTTCCACCCCAGGAGGAAGCGCCAGGCAGGGGGATGGGAACAAGGGAGGGCCTGCCCTCAGGGCCAAGGCCACAGAGCCGGGTGGCCAGGGACTGGGCTGAGGAAGGGCACAGGCCGGAGTATCAAAGTGTCTGGGAGCAGCTCTGGCGCTCTTCTTGGCAGGCGAGGGGCTGGATTCCATCCTCTATCTTCCCTGTCACCATCCACAGCAGGTAAAGGAACTGGAAGGGTCCGGGAGAGGGCGGCAGACAGGGCCACCTGGCCTAACTGCATCTTCCCTAGAGTCCTTCTAACAGCCGATGGGAATTTATTTAACATCTGTTTTCCTCCAGAGCTGCCCCCTCAACGAGGAGATCCCTGAGCAGCAGCTAAAGGCAGCACCCTTCTACCCCTCAGGGATACTACCTCCAAGAGCAGCTCAACTTTCTTCCAGGAGGGCAAGGAGGCTCTTCCTGCACAGGCCTCACCCCTGCCCAGGGAAGGGGACCCAGAGCACCTGCCCATTCTCAGAGCACAGGTTAGCTTTTCCCTGGCAATGTGCCAGATGCAGTGCTAAGACCAGCACATACATCACCTCATTTATTCTGCATGGTAACCTCAGGAGATACGGGCAGATAGGGAAACCGAGGCACAGAGAGATGAAGTCACTCACCCTAGGTCTGCTTAAACGATAGGGCTGGGATGTCCGAGGCTCAAGTCTGAGCTCTAACCACCACAGCCCACTGCCTCCTACACAAGGGAGGACATGAAACTGCCTCAGGGTTTTTGTTAACAAGTACATTGACACCCCCCCACCCCCACCCAGGACCCTGGCAGAGCAGCTCATTCCTGGGGCCACTGGGACTTGGTGCTGGTACACCATCAGGATGGTGACGCCCACCTACCCTGCCCACAGAGGCGACTATCCCTTCTCCTCAGGTTGTGCATCCCACTGGTACAGAGATCCCACTTGGCCCCCCAACCTCACTAGAGCCTTTTAATAGACTGGCTATTCCTGGATCTGTGTCCCCCTCCCCCTTCCTGATGTCACAGTTTCTATTTTGGAGCCCCCTCCTGGCCCCTCCTTGCCCCCAACTCCAGGCACAGAGCCAGGGACACCTGTCCTCTCCCTGGACTAGATGACCTCACCCTCCTCTGTTGGAAGGAGCTGGCCAACCAAGGACAGACTGGCTGTGGCTCCTGGAGCCCATCTTGCTAGCCAGCAACAGTAAAGGGGCCTCCTGCCCTCAGGTGTGGGGAACACATGAATAGGGCACGTGGCAGAGGTGTGCTTTTCCAGGTCCTAGACTGGCTGGCAGGATGCAGACTGGCAGTGGCAGGGTAGAGGAGAACAGGACCTAAACAACGATCTGGAGCCTTGACTTCTTGGCCAGGGAAGACTCCAGCAAAATGATGATGGAGCAGTGCTTTCCCACAAGGGTCTAGAGTTGGTAGACACCTTAGATCTGGAGACCTTGTTCACTAACCCCTGCTTCGACCTCATCTTGGCCAGCCAAGCTCTCTCAAGAAGGAAAGGGTAGGGAAAGTCAAGGTCCCCCTTAGTGTGATGACAGGCAGCAGACTCAGGAGAGCCCAGAAAGCCAGAGGCAGTTGCCCCTCCCAGCCCAGGACTCCACCCACCCACGCTGGGAGCAACTGGAAGGGCTGGCTAGCCCTGTCCTGGCTCTCTCTGCCTGCCCCAGGCACAGGAGAGTATGCTAGGGAGCCCTATTCTGGAGGAGAGGAAGATAGCAGCTTCAGTGAGTCAAAAGCAGGGCTCCCAGAACCTGGAGCGGCCAGAAACCTAAGGAAAGAGAATTCTGAGCTTAGGAAAGGTGGGAGAACCCAGAGGTGGCCCAAGCCAGGGGCTTAGGGCAGTTCCCAGCACTGTTAGGCATTCGTAGCAGTATAAAGTAGGAAGCAAAGTGTCAGACACAACTAAACTATCCTCAAGCAGTTCCCAGAATCCTCCAGGGAAGTAAAAGAGGAGGCCTTTAACTTGGGGACAAGTGTCTTTTTTATTTCTGAGATTCAAGTGATACAATAAGGTCTTCCCAGTGTCTAACTTCAACCCTTCCTGCTTTATAGCCTCTTTCTTCATGGTTCATTTCTCTTCTCCCTCCCCACCCACCTGGCTCTCCCATGTCACCCCACAACCTTACAAAGGTCCCATCAAGCATGGGGTACCTGAGTCTCATTTGAAGCCAGCACCAGCCCCTACAGACTTCAATGGCTGTGTTCCCTCGGAAGCTTGGCTCAAGCCTCCTGACCCTCCAAATCTGGAGAAGGGGAAGAGTCTAATGCCGGCTCTTCAAGTTCCTCCAGGTTCTGTTTCCTGGGCCCAAAAGGATGGGGTGGGGCCCTGACCAAAATGAAGAAAGCCAGGTCTGTTTGCTGCATAGTAAAAAAGTCACAGGCTGGCCCAGGAGCAGCCCAGACAGAGTGCAGGGTGCCAGCTGCCCTGGAGTACAGAGACAGCAGGCCTGCCTGCCTTCCAGTTCTCTACTGCCCTTTGAGCCCAGTCATGCTGGAGCCCATCGGCATCACCTGGGAGCTGCCGTGTACCAGGTCCCATGCTCACTGGTGGTTCATCCCTCTCGTTTGAAAGCAAGTCCAGGAAAAAGGTGAACATCTACTTTGGCACCTCCCACATCCCCGGAGGGTTGACCTTGCTTCCTCCGACTATCCCATTCTAGGCCTTCAATCCCTTTGGAATGAGGGAGCAGGGAAGGATGAGGAGGGTGGAGCAGATTCTGATCTACAGTAGGCACAGAGGTGCACCGGGGGCATCTAGGTGGGAAGGGATGCCAGGAGCCCACTTCCCAGACCCCAGACCCATGTGAATGACACTGACCCACTTTCTCTTTCTCAAGGCTGACCGCCCGCCTTCCCCAGGGGCTCAGAGGCAGAGCCTGAGCCTGAGGCTTGGAGGCAGGACGCCGAGGTTCCTTTTGCTCCACCCCACACCCATGCCCCAGTTTCTCTGGTCACCCAGAAAGGAGGGGATGCTTTCTCCCTCCCTCTTTCCCTCCTGGGAAAGGGAAGGAGAGAAAGTGTGGAGCACGCTGGGAGGCGCTAGGCGGGCAGGTGTTGTCATGAAGCTTGTCTCCCCTCCCACGCTGGGAGTAAGGAACCTGGCCACCTCCTCCTGGGCCTGTCACCACTTAGACCGGCTCACATGGTGGGTGTCACTCACCCTCTCCTCTGCTCCCAGGGCAGCTCCTCTAACCTGGCTAGCTGAGCCCAGGCAGGAGCGGACTCTGTCAGTCTTTCAGTCCCATGGAGGGGAGCAGAAATGATCAGTTCCAAAAAACTAAAGAAAGCCTCACTCCTCAAGCCCCCTTTTGCCTAAAGAGAAGCCAGATGCAGAGAGCGGCCTCCTCAGGGAAGCCCCATCAATGGCCTCTCTAACTCCCAGGACTGCAAAAGAGGCAAATCAGGTCAAGGGCTGGCATTGAGCCCAGCCCAGAGGCAAGTCTATCAACTCCCACTCTCCGGGGAGTGGAGTGAGCCCCAGAAGTAAATCACTCCAAGTCTCTGCCTGCCACCCCCTACCCAGGACATGTTTCCTTACTAACTTGTTTGCTATGAGGGCAGGGATAGACCATCTACCATTTTTCCCAAGCTCAGGATCAGCACGTTGGGGATGCTCAGCAAAGATTTGCTGAACAGGAAAGCTCCTGTCCTGAGAGAAATGGAGAGGAACCAGGAACAGTGCTGTTCTGTTCCCTAAGGAGAGAGGAGCAAGTCTTCGGAGATTGGGGAGGGGGTGGGAGGTGATCAGGGGTGAGGGCACCCAGGCCCCGGGGACTAACCATTTTCATCATCCCACTTCTATCCCCACCCGGTGGCCCCGTGCTCTTCCCTGGGGCTTCCTGTAGGGCATCCATGGAGGACACCTGCATGCCCAGCTACACAACTCATGGTTTCATTTTACTTCCATGGAGTTGAAAGGCATGTGCTTTCCAGGCTTCTGCCATGTACCAAGCACCCCACTCCCAGCCCAGATGCTACCTTGAACTCTAGGAATAGCAGGCGCGGGCAGCTGCCGTCTCCCTGGCCCAGGGCAGTTCTAACTCCACGTACCACAGGCAGTCCCAGAGTCCCAGGAAGGCTTTGAGAGAAGGGCCTCAGGGGGATGCCCCCAAGCAATGATCCCAACTCGGAGGCCTCCCCACAGTCCCAAATGAAGTTCCCAGTCTCTGGCCCCCTCCTACTCTCCCATCTTCCCAAACTCACTCCTTCCCAAACTCACGTAGACAGCATCTCCCCCTGCTGGGGGGAGCTGGAAAGTCAGCCAGGAGGCAAGGCCAATGCCACAGGCCCCACTCAGGAAGCCCCTCCTGGCTGGCTCCGCAGCCACTCCCAGGCAGCCTGCCTCGTGTGCTGGTGGACACCCCAAGCTACTGCCACACTCCTGCCAGCCCTGACGGCACTGGCTGCAAGGGGAACTTGGACCACAAGACCTAAGAAAAGCAACCCAGTGCCTTCTCATATTCAAAATTGAGGATTTTAGCTTTTTACTATAAGAGAATGAAACTCCAAAGCTAGGACGGGTCCTTCCCAAGCCACCAACAGCTGCCTCTGGGCTGCTTCTGTTCACTGGGCCAAGGGTCAGACCCCAGTGTGACTGGAGGTGGCTCCTGGTCAGGTCAGTGCAGCAGCCCAGAGGAGAGGAGCAGTAGGCAGCACTGCCAGGCACGACCTGCCCTGCCAGGGGCAGTGTCCAGCTGAGATGGGCAGGGGACTGATGAGAACCCACCAACCCTCCCCCCTTTCCCTTTGCCAGACTAGCCTGAGGAGGAAGCAGGAAGGCAGAACTTGACAGCCACCCCTCCAGTACCAAGGGCACACAGACTTCTCCGTGTCTAACACCTTGCACAACTCCTACAGGTTAAACGAAAGGAAGGGCAGAGGCAGGAGGATCTGGGAAAGAACCGCAACCACTGCAGATGGGGGTTCATCAGGCAAAGCTCACTTGGTAAGTCTCAGGAGCCCAGCTTCTACAGCTGGCACTCTACTCTGCCCACAGCCCATGCTCTGAAAATGGCGCGCTACAAAGGGAGAGGGGAGGGGGCACAGCCCTGACCAAAATAAACGGCACAAGCCCAGATAATCCCACCAGCTCCCAGCTTCCCTGAGTCTGCCGGAGCCCCTAGGACCCCAGGCAGGGTCTCTCTCACATATCACCAGCGCTGGGACCCCACAACAGAAAACGTCTGGTCCAGCCAATTGACTATGGGGGAGAGGAGGCCTGGATCCCTCTGTGATGCTGATGCTGCTTCTGTACCATCCTGCAAGCAGGGTCTTGGCTCTAAGCCCAAAAGAAGGAAAAATATCCTTCTATCCCTCTGGAAAAAGATGTGGAGTCCAAGATGGGTGAAACTGAGCAAGAAGGACTCTGACCCTTTAAGACTGTGCAAAAGGAGACAGCCGAGGAGAGAAGGCAGTTATTACTCTGACCACTCGGACCCACAACCCTCCTGCGAGAAGTCTGGAGGGTCTGGCCCAGGGCACTTGGACACATCCTCGTGGGCATACACCCAGACCCACCCAGCACAACGCTGCCTGGGGTCCCACCCATGGACTATTTCTGGCAGCACTAGACAGGCTCCCAGGAGCAGAGGGAAACAGGAAATCTCAGTGTCAGATACCCCAAATTAGGAATCCACCATGTCCAGGGGCTCAAGAGAAGGGACAGTCTACCTAGACTCAAAGGAGACAGCCAAGACTCCTCTGCCAACATGTCACTGCACCCCTGACTCCAATATCACACACCCCAACATGGGCTAAGGTCACAGGCCCTGCAAACCTCCACTAAGAAAAATGTACAGAATGCAGAGAAACACTCTACAGGGAAGAGAAGCTGCCACCACAGAATGGAAGCTGAACATTCATGTGTTGTAGGGAATTCCTTCCAACATCACCCCTGGACCACCCAGTGAGATTCAGGGATACACAGCCCCCCTCAGGCCTGCCTGTCTTGGTGAACAGGGCAGGACAGAGCTGGAATGAAGGCCCCCAAGGTGAGAGGGCAGGCATGGGGACAGAGTTGGACCCATGTCTCCCAGGGCCAGGCTAGACGATTGAGCCATTAATTCCCAGCTCTACTCCATGGTCAACTTCGGGTTTGTCTCTGTCCTTTTCTTCACACCTGACGCTTCATTCCTACACAGCTGCGACCCTAAAAGTCAGCTGGTTTGGGCTGGAAACCCACACAGCCCATTGTGGCCAAAGCCACCCCAGGGTGCACATCTCCAGCCTCCCAGCTCTTACCCGACTTGGTGGGAGAGTTCATACCGGCTCTGGGGCTGCAGGAAGCTGGTGTTGGGGGCTGGGATGGGAGGGGGTGGAGCTGCAGTGATGTCAAGAGAGACAGCCGATAACAGACAGACGGACGGGACAGGAGCCCGGGGCCGCTGTGCCTCTAATGCCCATCCGAGGCCATCCTCCAGGGCGAGGCAGTCAGGCACTCACAACAGCATCCCTGGAGAGAGATGGAGCAGGGTTAGAGGCCCCCAACACAGGAATCTGAGAGTCAAAGAGACCTCGGAGCTTGCTTGTCAGTTTCCACCTGGAAAAGAGAAGGAGGTACACCTGCCTAGGGACACAAAGGGAATCAGAAGAACTGGACAAGACCCTGGTTTCTTGTCTTTCTAACTGGCAAGGCTGCCAGCACTCAAGGGAAGGGAAATGGCTATAGCAGCCACACCTAAACAAACTCCTTTTCAGGCCAACAGTGTCCACTGCCAAGTGAGGAGACCTTGTAGACTCCCAAGGGTGCCTGATATGGGACTGAGTTGTGCTAAAGGAGAAAGAGCAGGGAAGTTTCTAAACTGTATCCATAGCAGTGGGAGATGCAGGGTGGATCTGGAGTCACTGGCAGTAGTTAGGAAAGAAACTGGTATCCCAGCCTCAGAAGCCTGAGCTAGGACTCTGAGATAGAGTCATTTACTCTACTCTCTGACCCTTGAGCCTCTAATGCCCATCTGAGGCCATCCAACTCTGGAAATGTGATATGCTTCTGTCTTGGTCTCTCCCATTCAACAATAGGTCAGGGAAAGAGAGTGACCACCCCTCCATAACCCATTTTGTTTCCACAGAAACATGGAAAGGCAAAGACACTTACCCATCCATATCCAGTGGCCCCCAGTCTAGGGACCAGGGCCCAAGAGTAGGGCTTTGTCTGTGCTGTACAGGTTGTGTCCTGCACAAGCAGGTCTGAAATCTAGTCTGTGTTCTTCCTGCCAAGCCATGGGTCACCCAGGCTAAGTTCACCCAGAGTAAGGGACACCTTTCCCCAGTTTGTACAAAGGCACCAAAAGGCCCAGCAGTGGGCCTGTTGAGACCAATATTGCAATAGAGATGTCCCAGTATTACAGGATGAGTTTGCCAACCTGTCCCTACACCTCCAGCTCCCTACCTGCCTCTGCCCCACAGCTAGTCCTCAAACCCCAGACACTGCGCATGCACCCACCTGGGCCCATCCCTAAACAGCCCATGATCCACCCCAGACATGATCTCATTTTCTTCCAAATGAAGGCAGGCCCTCCAATACCCCATAAAAATTAGGTAGCAGGAAGTGATCAGATGAAGCTGAGAAGAGCTGGATGCTTAAGCTCTAACTCTGCTCCTCCAGCCGGAAACAAGCAATCAGCTCTGCCCCCCTCCCCCCACCTCACCTTCCTGGCAGGATTAATTCTCAGCCTTGCATACTCATCAAGGATTCCCACGGGTGGGGTCCATTTGGAGTGGAGTAGCCAGGCAGTCACGGCACAGGTACAGAACCCCCCACACACACCCCGTGCACACACTAAGAAGAACTCAAATCTTCTTAGGCCTGCTGCCCCCTGCTCTCACCCACAGGGTCTAGACTCTAGCTGGAGAAAGTGCACTCAGACGGAAGGCAGGAGGAGGCAGAGTGAAGGGGCTAAATTGCTCTAGGCAGGCACAGGTGTGGGGCCAAGCTCAGGAATGCAGCAGGTGGGGCTGCTGGTGCCCCGGCAGGGCCTGCATGGGCAGGCAGCTCGCCTGTGCCCACCCCAGGGCTGGCGCCCGGTCCCACTCACACCCTTTCCTGTGGGCTGGAGAGCACAGGTTCAGAAATTCCCACGACTCCCAGCAGACTGAGTGGCCCAGCCCATCTTCTTGGTGAAAGACATCACGGCAGGGCACCCAGAAAGGATAGGGCCTCAATGGTACAAAAGCTAAGTTAAAATCCACCCTGAGCCCCCCTACCCCCCACCCCCGTCTCATGCCCCAGGGAGATGAGGAAGGCAGGAGCTCCTAGAACTCCCAGTGGGCTCCCACCCTGCAGGATGCAGCAGGACCCCTGGGCCCCTGCCCACCTGTGGGCAGTGTCTGCCAATATCCCCATCAGGCCTCCTGAGTGAAAAGGGAACTCCTCAGAAACAAAGCAGTATCCGATCAGAATAGGTGTAGATTCTTGTCTGGGGTGGGGCATGGAGGGCGAAAAAGGCCAGAGCTATGGTTAAAACCTGAGCTATTTGGTTCCTCCTCTGCAGGAGAAAGTCACTGCTGAATGTTATATAAGGGTCTTGGTGGACAGTCAGGGACCAATAGCTGTGTGGCGCCGGGATGACCGAACACTTGGATTCCAAACCAGTGAGCAGCCTGGCTTCCATGAAGTCATAAGTAAGCAGAACCCAGGCCCTCCCCCTGCCCCTGTCAAGTCTCTCTTCCAGACAGACCTCTGTCCCACTCCAGAACCCATACCCACCTCCCACCTCAAGCCTGGATGGCAGGGCAAAGAATGAGGGAAACCAGCTGCCTCTCACCCCGCAAGTTCATGGCTAAGCCAGAGAAGATAGGGCAAACCCTAGGGGGACACTCCCCACCCCATTTATGAGCAATAAAAACTCTGTCAGAGGCTGGGAGGAGAAGGGCAGACAAGTGAGGGAGACATGAATCAATGTAATGCCCCAAAGGCCACAAGTTCACAATGCTGCCCTGCGGGGCAACTCCCTCAGAATTCCTGGGGTGTTGGGTGTCCCTTCGAGGGCCTCTCTGGAACCTTGGCTCCAGCACTACCGGGCAGGCCTCTCCCAACACACCAGCTAGAGGCAGGCCCAAGTCCTAAGCACTGTGGCCAGAGTCCCCTCCCTAGTTACAAGTGGCCAGGTGAGCTCTCTAGACCAAATCTCATGAACCTGAGATTGCCCACCATCTGAGATCTACCCCGAAGACTTCATCTGAAAGCTACACGCCCAGACAATCCATCCCAGTGTACAAACGACTTCTCATCTGGACATCTCCTGACCATGGGCATGGCAGTCCACTTTTCCCAGCCTCCAACAGCTTCCATCACGTGTGTCTTCCCCAAACTGGGCCACCAGAAGCCCAGGATTGTAAGCCATGAGGGGAGGCCAACTTGGATGTCCAGACCCCAAACTAAGGGAAGCGGGAGGACAACAGGGGAGAAAAAAAGGCACCAGGCTGACAAATTCATTTTTGCAATCGGCCCATTTCTGTTTGTCTGCTCAGACGCAGCTCCAGGCATCTGCACAAGCCAGATGGAGGAGGCTGCTATTTCTAGAAAAAAAGGGGGGGGGGCAGTGATGAGAGGAGAGGGAGGTAGAAGGCGGAGGCACAGGGCAGAAGACCGGGTCTGTTTGCCCTAAAACCTCAGGCAGATTGTTACCCCCTCCCCAGCACTAGGAGACAGGGTCCCCATTCAAGAAAGGGCTGGGGCAGGGGCTAGGGTGAGGTGGGATGGAGGAAAAGAACGGCAGAGAAAGTTTAATTAGCCAAAGTCAGCTACAATAGGCCCCCTCAAAGGCTGCATCAGGTTTTCATTCATGAGCAAGCGACAGTGCTCCAAAAATGCCAAGAGCCGCCCCCCTGGCAGTCTCTCCCCCACCCCCACCCCAACAGGAGCGCGTCCTCTAGCAGGCTGGCTGAGCCTGATGCCGTGTTCCAGACATCCCTCCTCAAAGGGATGTGAGTAGGAAGAATTAATTATTAAAGAGCAGCTGGTACTTTGGCACCAACTGCACTCCCCCCAATTTCTATAGCATGTCCCCCTCCCCCTTATACAAAAACATAAAATATTCCCCCATCCCCAAGCCCCATTTCTAAACACACAGCTAAGACACCACCCCTAGGGAAGAGAAAGCAAACCTTTGTCTCAGCAGCTACTTGGAGTGGGTGGGGCATGAGATACTGCTGCCCCCAAACACCCCCAAATTACTTGATCCAGCCACAGAGGATCTACTGGGAGGAAGGGAAGGCTTGCACAGAGTTAACTTGCCCTCCACCCTTGCCCCCAAGTTACTTGCACCTGGTATCTGTCTCTCTGGCTCCTGGCATGCATACATTCCCAGGACACAGTGGGAATGCTGGGGGTCCACCCCTCTCAGATAGACCCCTGCCTGCCTTCTCAAGACACAGCCCAAATCCAAGTCCAGGCGGAGAAAAAGCAAGGAGAGGATTCAAGAAAAGGGGTAGGAGGCAAACCAAGATCTCTCCAAGCTTTGTTGTTTAGGACTGAGAAGGAGAGAAGACTGGAATGAAGAAGCAGGCAGGCCCAACGAACATGGCTCACTCACCATCCACAGCCCAACCCAGCATCTCAACAGCCAGCATAGGCTGGGGTCGGGGTGGAGGTGGGGGTCTTGGTGCCTGGAACTTGGACTGGGGACCCTCCTTCCCTACATCCCCTGAACCTGAAGATGCCCAGGGAAAGACCCAGACCCTGGTTCCAGTCCTTCAAGGTGGTCTGTATAGGAGTCCCTCTGCCAAGACTCCTGAGTCTCTCACCCCCTGCCTCCTATTGTTCCTGTGACCTGGCTCCATCCACCCCTCCCAGCTGGACCCTGAACCCAATCACCCCCGTCACCACCCCCAATCAAACAAAGCTAATTCCAGGCCCCAGAAGCACAGTGGTCACTGCCAGAGTGTTGGGTCCCTTGAGCCACCCCCGCCAAAAGCAACTGCAGCTGCTACCCTTCCTCTTAAGGGGCACACCTCATCTCAGGAGGCCAACAGTGGCCACCTCCTCCCCCAAATAGGGCACCCCCACCTTCCCCTCTCCTCTCCCCACCGACCAGACTCTAGGATTAATTACTTATCACCCAGCCAGTTCACATCTTCCCCAGGGCCCCAGAGACAGGTAGGGAAGCGGCCTCCCCCAAGTTAAAAGGCACAAGCAGTGTCCCCGCCTCCCTAAATTACAGACCCAGGATGAAAAAGGGCGGGGGAGAGGGGCAATCCACCCCAGACAAATGGGGGAGCTTTCATCTCCTAGCTCTTTCTGGCTCCAGGGTGTCAGACGGGAGAAGAGGGTGGGAACAAACCCAGTAACGCCTCAACGGGGAAGCGGTGAGACTAATGGGAGAAAGAAGTGAGGTGGGCCTGCAGGCCCCCTCTCCAGGCACGGAAGTCAAGGACACAAAATCAAAAACGCGTTCTTAGGTTTGGGTGGTAAGCGCTATAGGGTGGGCAGCGCTCCTCACCTCAGGGTACCAAGAAAGGAAGTCCCGCAAAGAGGGGTCTGCTTAGAATCCCGGCGCTGGGCTCAAATCGCTCTGCAACGCAACATGCGACCCCCGGGGAGGAGGCAAACCAGACAGCTTCGGCTGATCTCCCGGCCGTTTGGGGGTGCGGGTCTCGGGAAGGCCGGCCCCTCCCTTTACTGCAGGGAAGGCGCCCCTGCATGAGGGACGGGGAGGGGCGCGCGCTGCAACCCCGAAGCCCTGCTCCCGGACTGGCGATGCTCCCGTGGGGGCGCCAGCCAGCATCGGGCTCCAGGAGGAAGGAAGCGGGGCGCGGAGCGCGGGGCGCGCGCGGGAGCCCAGGGCAGCGACGGCAGGAGGGGGCAACACCTCGCGTCCCAGGGACCGAGAGGAAGCGGTATGGGGGTGTTGTGGCGCGCTCACCCCCTGCGGCTCGAGCTCCGGCTTCGCGGGCGGCGGCGGCAGCAGCGGCGGCGGCAGCAGCGGCAGCGCCTCCTCGACGGCTCCTCCATCTTTGCGGCGGCTCCTCCGGCTCCGCTCGCCACCGCCACCAACAACAACATTCGGAGACGTCACTCCCATCACGTGACCCGACCCGGAGCTAAAAATAGACCCAGACTCCCCCCCAACAACCTGCCTCCCTCTTCAGCCAACACCAACCCCTCCCCTCCCTTTCGGCCCTCCCCCGCTGGGCGGGGCCAGCAGCGCCACCGTGACAGTTTCTTAAAGGGCCGGTACCCTGCCTAGGATTGCGGTGGGGAGTCGCGGGGAAGGCCACGCGAGTTGTAGTAGAAACGCTCGATCTTCCTCCCTGCGCTTCCTCCACTTCCTTTCCAAACCATAGATGGTGCAGTCGCTGCCTACCTAAGCTTCTCCTCAACAAGCCCTTCCGCGGTGGAGGAGGGGAACTGGAGATGAATTCCTAGGAACTGGGAAGCCCGCGGAGGCCCCAGCTGAGGGGCCAGGATGTGGATGAATGGCTGGGACAGGTCTTGAACCTGCCAGCTCCGACCGCACACGTTGCATCCGTGCCAGGGAAAGAAAAGACTGAGAAAGGCCAGAGTGTGGTTTCAACAGTCCAAGGACTTGAAAAGGAAGACTTCCTGACCCTGACTGTGGTGCCGTCCGTCCTCCTCTGCAACTCTCCTTAGGACACAATATGAGTATGCGTGATCAATAAACAGTTTGTCAATTACCCCGTAAGCCCTCTAACAAAAATTTACACTACGGAATAAACATCGCTGTGTTAAAAAATGAGTATAGAAGGAAAGAGATTGTTTATAGTGATGTGAAAAGTTCAAAACAACCTAAATATCTGTTAGAAGGGGATTGGCAAAGTAGCCCACATCCACCCAGTGGAATACCATCCAGACATTAAAAACTATGCAAGTCTATATTGACCTGAAAATATGCTCATGATACATTGTTTTCTCAAAAATAGGGAATCAAACTGTACTATAAAATTATTCCTTTTTTGTTAACAATGAACAAGATCCATATGTCAGAGTACGTATATATATAAAAAAGTCTAGAAGAATATATGCCAAAATACTGACCTTTGGTTTTTTTCTTTATCTTTTTCTGTACATCTGAAATTTTGCAACAATCATGTATTACGTATCAATCAGAAAATACATAGAGCTCATGCACCTTAACAAACAAAAAGCAAATAATCCAATTAAAAAATGGGCAGAGGATCTGAACAGACACTTCTCCAAAGAAGAAATTCAGATGGTCAACAGGAACATGAAAAGATGCTCCACATCGCTAGTCATCAGAGAAATGCAAATTAAAAGCACAATGAGATATCACCTCACACCAGTAAGGATGGCCACCATCTGAAAGACAAACAACAACAAATATTGGCAAGGATGTGGAGAAAGGGGAACCCTCCTACACTACTGGTGGGAATGTAAATTAGTTCAACCATTGTGGAAAGCAGTATGGAGGTTCCTCAAAAAACTCAAAATAGAAATACCATTTGACCCAGGAATTACACTCCTAGGAATTTACCCTAAGAATGCAGCAGCCCAGTGTGAAAAAGAAATATGCACCCCTATGTTTATCGCTGCACTATTTACAATAGCCAAGAAATGGAGGCAATCTAAGTGTCCATCAGTAGATGAATGGATAAAGATGTGGCACATACACACAATGGAATAGTATTCAGCCATAAGGTAGGAAAATCCTACCATTTGCAACAACATGGATGGAGCTAGAGGGTATTATGCTCAGTGAAATAAGCCAGGTGGAGAAAGACAAGTACCAAAGATTTCACTCATCTGTGGAGTATAAGAACAAAGAAAAAACTGAAGGAACAAAACAGCAGCAGACTCACAGAACCTGAGAATGGACTAACAGTTACCAAAGGGAAAGGGACTGGGGAGGATGAGTGAGAAGGGAGGGATAAGGGGGAAAAAGGGGCATTACTATTAGCAGACATAATGTAGGGTGGGGGGCACGGGAAGGGCTGTATAAGACAGAGAAGACAAGTAGTGATTCTGTGGCATCTTGCTATGCTAATGGACAGTGACTGTAATGGGGTATGTGGTGGGGACTTGATAATGGGGGGAGTCTAGTAACCATAATGTTGCTCATGTAATTGTAGATTAATGATACCAAAATAAAAAATATATACATGTATATATATTAAAAATAAGTAAGTAAATGACATAAATAAATGTTTTTGTAATAAATGATAAAGGTTCTTCCTACACTGTATTTCATGAATCAGTCCACTGGGTTCTAAGCCAAATCACCCCTCACCTGAGATACTGTGGCTGCCTCCACAACAAGTCCACTCCCTGCATCCATCCCAACCTTCTCCCAAAGCTTGAATGACTTTTTTAGAACACAGATCTAATCAAGAGAAGGCTTAAGACCTTCCCAGTGTTGTCACTGTATCTGTATTTGGCCCAGAAAAGTGGTTTTCAAACACAAGGGTACCTACAAGTTACCTGAGGAGTTTACCCAAAATGGTGATTCCTGAACCTCCACCTCCAGAGCTTGTTTTTCTGGAGCCCAGAAATCTTCATTTTTATTAAGTACTCCAAGGGATTTTGCAGCTGGTCCTCTCCTTCTACTTAGGGGAAAAAAAAAATACCTAGAAGCTTCTACATGATCTGGTCCTTGCCCACCTCACCTCTCTTCCCTTGCTTTCTGTACACCAGCTTTCTCTCATGTCCCTGAACACTGTGCCTCTTGCTCTTCAGGGCCTTTACACAGTTTTTTTTTTTTTTTCCTTCCTGGAATGCTCCCCTCTCCTCTTTGCCCAATGCTCCCCTCTCCTTTTTGCCCGGTTAACTTTTACTCATCCATAGAGCTCAATTAACTATCACTTCCTGAAAGAGGCCTCCTTTGATCCTTTAAATTAGATCCCCTTGTTATATTTGTTTTCATTGACCTTGATAACAATTTGTAAATTTACAATTATGGCATTATTGGTTCAGTATCTATCGCTTCCCCTAAACTGTAGGCTTCTTGAATGCAGAAACCACACATCTTCTCCCAGTACAGTGTCTGGAACAAAAAAAGACTTGATGGATATTTGCCTATTTGTCAGATGAAATGAAGGAGTATTAGAAGATTAAGCTAAGATAAGCACTTTCTCACCGGGCAATGGACTCTCAGCAGAAAGGTCACCACCATGGAGCCATCCCACGTCACTCCAAGACAGGGGTCCTCTTGCCTGCATCCCATCCCATAACAGTGGTGCCACCCACTTGCACAACCTTGTGATGTCCCCTGGGCAGTTAAGCTGGGTTGGGACTTTGCTTTCTGGTGCTTATGTTTTGCCTCCCCAGAGTATAAGCCACTGGAGACAAGAGGTAAGATCAAATTTCGTTTTGCTTTTCCAATACCTACCACATCACCTTGCGCAGGTAAGGGCTTGGAGGCACTAAAGACTCTGGAATTTCTTCTCTAGAGATCTCAGAACATGGGGAGAGAACCTCCCCATCTGGGATGATAGATGTCAATAACTGTCTCATGGAGCACCTTTGCCAGGCACTTCCCCTTCCACAGATAAGGGAATGAAGGCTCCGAGAAGCTAAATAACTCGCCCAAAGTCTAGAAAGCAAGACCTGGGATTTAAACCGAGGTCTTTGTGTCTGTCCTCCAAACCCAAGGAACAGGGCCTTGTGCTCTTCTCTGGAGGTCCCTTAGATTATCACCTCAGTCCCCAGTGGCCAAATGCCCCCAGAAATTATGAGAATTCACCACATAGTGCCTCAGGGAGCACTTAGATTTCCCCTTCTGAGCTAAGTGAGCCTTAATAATTCCACATCGATTCTACATGTTTCTTGAGTTCCTGTGGTAGGTGTTGGGAATATAAAGATAAATCTGCCTGTAAGGAACTTAGATTTCCTCTAAGAGATTAAACTGTCTTTTGTTATGAGTCCCTAGAGTAAGTCCTTGCCAACATCATTCACCATGGAAACAGGGGTAGTGGGGCTATCTGGTTAACCACTGCCTCAGTTTTCCAATGTATAGTGATCCTGTAGATGGGATCTAGTAGCTGCCTGGGGACCTTCTGATCCTGGGACCCAGTGGTGAATTTGGCCTGTTGGTAGAAAGAAATCAATCTCGGAGAGGAGAGACAAGCATATGACTTCTACATAGCCTACAGGTTGGTTGCACTATTGGACTTGGAGAAGGAGACATTAAGGCTCTGGAGAGAAGGAGGAGTAGAGAGTAACACTGTTAGGGGCTCTGGGAGTAGCTACTCCTGCTTAAATCATGAGAAATGTCCTGGCCTGTACTTAGAGCTGGAGAGGAAGCAACCTCCCTGATCAGTGACAGCTGGCACCCATCTCCTCCACATCCCCTCTCATTCACCCAGGGTCTATGTCCTCTGAAGTCAGCATTGCCTGGGACCAGACAGGACACCCAGTTCACTCCAAACTTGCACCCAGAATTCCCCCTGGGGTAGAAATCCTCAAATCTATGGGCAGGATTTGAGAGGCTCTGGGGAGGCTCTGGCCAGAATGGTATAGTTCACAGTTTTGGTCTCTGGTGGAGCAATACCTAAGTGGCCCTGTGGGCCTCCAAAGAGTGCCTGGGGTGGAAATAGTAGTTCTGCCTAAATATGGCCTTGGGCAGAAAGTAATATACAAGGAAGAATTGAGCTGCTAAACCTAATCAATAAACATTTATTAGATATTTATCAAAGGAAATATGCATTATTTTTTAAAGCTTTTATCAGCTACCAAGGGCAACTTGTACATAAGGCATCTTGTTTCTGTTCTACTCAGCAAGAATTTATTGAGCATAAGGAAAAGTTACAAGGCCAGCACAATGCTATAGGTACTATGGGGACGCAAAGTAATAAGAAAAGAGGACAGGAGGTGAGAAAACCTGGGTCCTAGGTTCAGCTTCTTCCTGGTGCGTTGTTACATGAATCATTTCCCCTCTGGGCCTTGGTGTCCTAATCTGGGAAACAGGACTCCCTTCTGTTCTCTGAGGTCCCCTTCAGTTCTGACACTCTGTGAGTTCCGAATCAGATGTGGTGACAGACATAGTAGAGTCCAGGACAGTGCTGGGCTTCAAAGTTTAGGCTTTAAAGTCTAGTCCT